AATAAATACCTGAGATATTCAAAAGTATGTCACCGTGACCTACTCTTTGTTCGACATTCTCTGAAAACCCAAGAGGCATAAACTAACAAAGTTTGATGATTCTAAGCCAATAAGTACCGGAAATACTTAAATATAGCCATCAAATGTCAAAAGTAGGTCATCGTGACCTACTTTTTGGTCGACATTCTCCGAAAACCCAAGATGCATACACTGACAAAGTTTGATGATTCTAAGCCAATAAATACTGGAGATACATTAATGTAGCCATTAAATGTCAAAAGTAGGTCATCATGACCTACATTTTGGTTGACATTTATCAGAGGCCTAAGATGCATCTGCTGACGAAGTTTGATAATTCTAAGCCAATAAATACCTGAGATATTCAAAAGTAGGTCACTGTGACCTAGATTCTCTAAAAACCCAAGAGGCATAAACTAACAAAGTTTGATGATTCTAAACCGATAAGTACCAGAAATACATAAATATAGCCATTAAATGTCAAAAGTAGGTCACCGTGACCTATGACATTCTCCGAAAACCCAAGATGCATCAACTGACAAAGTTTGATGATTGTAAGCCGATAAGTACTGGAGATACATAAATATAGCCATAAAATATTGAAAGTAGGTCACCGTGACCTAATTTTTGGTCATCACTCTCCGAAAACCCAAGATGCATCAACTCACAAAGTTTGATGATTCTAAGCCAATAAATACCTGAGATACTGAAATATAGCCATAAAATGTCGAAAGTAGGTCACAGTGACCTACATTTTGGTCGACATTTTTCAGAGTCCCAAGATGCATCAGCTGACCAAGTTTGATGATCATTGGTCTGAAGGTAATCAAAATATGCCTTTTAAACAATTTGAAAACAAATGCCTGCAAAATTCTAAAAGTAGGTCACAGTGACCTACTTTTACTTAAATATGTTTTAAGGTTCCAAGATGCAGCAACTTACAAGATTTGATGATTCTAACCCTCTCAGTGTCTGAAATAATGGGATGAAATGTTTTAAAAAGAATAAATCATAAAGTTCAAAAAGTAGGTCACGGTGACCTACTTTTAAGTTGACGTTGTTCAAGAGACCCCAAAGATGCATCAACTGACAAAGTTTGATGATCATAGGCCTTAAAGTGTCCTAAATATGCCTTCAAATCAATTTGAAAACAAATCCCCGCAAAATTAAAAAAGTAGGTCACCGTGACCTACTTTTGAGTTAACATGATGTGAAGTCCTAAGATGCATCTACTTACAAGATTTGACGATCCTAGTCCTTATAGTAAGCAAAATATAGACATTTTCATTAATTGTAAATTTAGGTCAACTTTGAAGTGACCTTGAGACCACGCCCTTTGCCCCAGGGTCATGCCTTGAACAATTTTTAATCTTCAACATATCCTGATCATTGTATGTAAGTTTGGTGAAAATCTGCCTGGTGGTTCTGGAGAAGAAGATTTTTTTGCAACCAGTACTTTTGGTTTTGTTTTCCTGATTATCTCCCCTTGTTTTAGGGTCCCAACCCTTCTTTTAGTATAAATGGTAGCCCTTGGGCCAAGGATACCCTGTGACAAATTTGACACTGATTGGCCAAGGGGTTCTTGAGTTATGGCCCATATTCTAAAAAGTTAACGCACACCGCACGACGCACACAACACAAATGGCCATAGCATTAGCTCTTTGAGCCTTTGGCTCAGAAGAGCTAATAAAACATGCTTGTTTATTTTCACCCGTGTGTAACACTCAGTCATTATCTTTAATCAAGTCAGTTAAGTAGAACTAGTAAACAGGGTATAGACAATCAATTAATTTCAACTATATGATTAAAAGTTTAACATTTTGACCACAGTACAATTTTTCTGGTTTGGGGACTCAGAAATAAAAAAAAATCTGAATGTATAACATTGTTTTGACTTCAAATTGGGATCATTCTTGTTTTTCGTTATTATTCAATCTGGCTCAAAATCGACACGATATATACACTTGACTTTTCAGTCGATACAGCCCATGGGCCACATCGCTCACCTGAGAAGCTTTGACCATTCCGTTCTTTACCAGATTTCCTCCTTGTAATGCATATTGTGACCCCACCCTACCCCACTAAAAATAATTTAGATTTAAAATCTACACTACCATAGGATCCTTTGATTCCCCATTGTGGTCCCTACCCCGGGGGTCATGATTTGAACAATTTAGAATCTACACTTGTCTACCCCAGGATGCTTCCACATGAATTTCAGCTTTTCTGGCCCAATGGTTCTTGAGAAGAAGATTTTAAAGATTTTCCAATATATTTCTAGTATGTAAAAATTAGATTCCCCATTGTGGCCCCACCCTACCTCGAGGGTCATGATATGAACAATTTAGAATTTACACTACCCCAGGATGCTTCCAGATAAGTTTCAGCTTTTCTAGCCCAGTGGGTCTTGAAAAGAAGATATTTTTTAAGATTTTTCCAATATATTTCTATGTAAAACTTTCATTCCCCATTGTGGGCCCGCCCTACCCCCGGGGGTCATGATTTGAACAATTTAGAATTTACACTACCTGAGGATGCTTCCACAAAAGTTTCAGCTTTTCTGGCCCAGTGGTTCTTGAGAAGAAGATTTTTAAAGATTTTTCCTATGTTTCTATGTAACACTTTGATTCCCTATTGTTGCCCCGCCCTACCCTGGGGTCATGATTTGAACAATTTAAAATCTACACTACCCCAGGATGCTTCCACATAAGTTTCAGCTTTCCTGGCTCTGTGGTTCTTGAGAAGAAGATTTTTAAAGATTTTTTCTACATATTTCTATGTAAAACTTTTGATTCCCCATTGTGGCCCCGCCCAACCACCGGGGGTCATGATTTGAACAATTTAGAATCTACACTATCCCAGGATGCTTCCACAAAAGTTTCAGCTTTTCTGGTCAGTGGTTCTTGAGAAGAAGATTTTTAAAGATTTTTCCTACATGTTTCTATGTAAAACTTTGATTCCCCATTGTGGCCCTGCCCTACCTGGGGGTCATGATTTGAACAATTTAGAAACTACACAACCCCTACATGGTGCTTCCACACAAGTCTCAGCTTTTCTGGCCCAGTGGTTCTTGAGAAGAAAATTTTTTAATGACCCCATCCTATTTTTGTCTTTTCTTGATTATCTCCCCTTGTGAGGGGACTTGGCCCTTTATTTTAACAATTTCAATTCCCCTTCACCAAAATATGCTTTGTACCAAGTTTCGTCAATTTGGCCCTGTCGTTCTTGAGAAGAAGTCAAAAATGTGAAAAGTTTACAAACGGACAGCTAGACAGACAGATGGACAGACTGACGGACGACGGACAAAATGTGATCAGAAAAGCTCACTTGACCTTTGGCTCAGGTGAGCTAAAAATTAACAAATTGCGATCTTTTCCGCACGATTTTAACCAGCTATAGAGTAATTTTCTCAAATCAAATTGATCACGGGTTTTTTTCTTACATAAATAATAAATATTATGAGAGTATTTATTCACAAGTGGACTGCTGATCATGATTTTTAAATATATTTCAGGAATAAAACATTAAACAAAAGTGATTTTTCTTCCTGAGAATTGCTTTTCTCCATAATAATGAGATGATAAATTCCCCTCCTGTAGACTCTAATAGAGTATAACTTGTTGGTAGTGCTGTAACTCCCTTGTCTGATGGACCATTTTTGTACTTTAATGTCTTATGGAGCAGTATAAAATATATAAATAAAATATTTTTGTCCAATTTTCAGAATACACATGTATATAAATCATTAATAAATACTCTATAAACACATGATGCCAGAGGTTATAAAGAGGACTACTGTAAACCAAGTATTATACGCGTGCGATAAATATCCGCGAGTTCCGCGAGTAACCTCTGCTCGCGGATATTTATCGTCGCGAACTTGCAAGTTGTTCATCATATTCCCATATCATGATTTATTTAGAGTTATTTGCCCTTTTTAATACCGATCCCGACGGTTCAACAAGTAATCACGGAAGAACTTTACTGTTAGTGTACAAGAAGCAGTTGAAATTTAATTACAAACATTAAGAAAAAAATAAAAATGAATGGCAAATCTAAAACTATTTGTCTAAAAATGATTAAAATGTCAATAATCATTTCAGCTTGTGTTATTATTGTTCATTTATTGTTACAAACGAGTCAGAGATAGCCTGGTTAATTGCGGCTAATTTATGGCCTAGCCGCCTTGTCCCTAACCATTTATAATAATTGCCCCTTGGCTGTGTAAATCTTAGAAAGTGTCGATTACCCAATTAGTATGAGGCACTTTTACAATTGAGAGTTTGAAATCAATTTTAATCTCCTAGATTTTCCCCCGATTTTCGTTTGAGCGTTGTAAAAATGCGTATGAAGTATACTCATGGTAAACATTTTATCTACTGTAGGGGCGGATATAAGATTTTAAATGGACGCAATGCACAGAATGTCTTGAATAATGCGTAAGCAGACCTCACGCTACCATTTTACCTAGTTTATGGGCGGATATAAAATTTTTATTTGATTCAAAAATACTCGTGGAAATATAAAAAAAATGTGACCACTCGTTCGCGGAAATAAATCGTCGCGGATAAGTTCTCTAGCGGTCAGTCGCGAATAAAAAATGACGCGTATAATAATTGGTTTACAGTAATCTGTTCTAACTCCTATTAAATTGTAATTATAACTTAATAACAAGATATAAGGCCATGCAGAGTTAATTCCTTGGTTCTCTGGCCTTTTTTCAAGAAATATGATGAGGGAGGGGGCAATTTTTGAAGACTTTATTGCCCCCAAAATAAGATGAGGAAGCTCTTTACATTGTACATAACCTCAAAAAATGACGATAGAGGTGATTTGTTTTTTTATATTATTGATTTTGCAATAAAAAGGGTCAATGAGGCACGCTTGGAAGAGGAGGGAGGGCCTGAGAACCAAGAAATTAATTTTGTATAGCCTTGAATCTAATCGGAATGTTAACTAGCAGTGCCCCCTGTTTGACGTACCAGTGCTCCCCTCTTACAGACAAAGTGAATGCTGGTGGTCCAGTTCTTCCTCTGGCTGTTGATATCCTGACACTCACTCTTTACACTGACGTATCGGAGTGTAAGCTGACCCTCCCGATCTACAGTGGGGCCTGATGTCACCTCCCCAAGATTATCAAACAGCAATTCCTCCTACAAATCATCCATCATAGGACAATGTATATGTTAATGTTTCAATTAGTTTTATTCCATAGAAAGTTATTGCACTCAAATAAAATTTGAAAATAAAGATTTCCTGATTTTGTAAATTCAGTTTCAATCCATACTGTATACTGCTTCATTCTTTAACTTTACATCTTCAGATATTCCTTGATATTCTGCTTTATTCCCAGTTACTTGTACTGCTTTGGCATTTAAACTGATTGGCCGAATGTTGTACTAGTACCTGTCCATTCTTGTAGCCAGTCTGACACACAGCAGCAAAAGGACTACAGCCCGCCCCCACACGGACCTCCTTTAAAGGACTACACACATTGATGTAAAACTTGACCCTGGAGTTAGGGCTAGAGTCATCCACTATGGCCCAATTCCCCTGTGCTGCACCTCTAGATAAGCTAAAAAGAGAGGAACATGGGTCACAGTGTTCATCTGAGTGTTTCTAAATTAATAGGCATAATCTACTAAACAATTAATATAAAGTTGTTATTTCAAATCCTGTAAATCACTTTTTGAATGCAAAAAATTTATTTTCGTGTGATTACGCGAGACAGTGTGCTCGCGAAAATTTAATTCTCGCGCATAATAGTATTCCTTAAGAATATATAAAGCAAGAGTCAATGACTATCTCGCGAAAATAAGGTA